CCACAGAAAGAGAGATAATAATGTTTGTTGTTTTAAGCTACTATATTTTGGGATGTTTCATTACACAGCAATAGATAGCTAATAGATTGAGAATTGTGATTTCTAGAAATTTAATGAGACCTTCTTTTTTTTTTTTCAATGTCCATATCCTGTACAATAATGGCATTGAATTTTCTTAGTTTCTAAAAGGCTAAACTTGCTTAAGGTTTGGAAAACTATTAAATATTGTTTTGTTTGGCTTTTGGAAACCATCATTTTTCTGAGTTTGCCTAATTTATGGTTAAATGAGGTTCATTACAATCCTTTGTTTAGCTTTAGAATTCTAAAGTAATGTTAATTTTCAGTTACTCAATTATTTAGAGAAACTGAAGAAAGCTGACCATTGAATGTTATGGATTTTTTTTCCTTTCATCTTTGGTATAGGAATTTGATTTTTGTAGATATTGACACGTATTGGACCCATAGTAAGTAAACATGAAAAAAACCTTAAGTTTTGGATGGAGGAAGAGGGCTTTGGTTATTAGAGTAAAGAAGCTCATATCAGTACATTTAAAAACATAAACAGAACACACCAATAAAGAAACAAGATTCCAGATTCCCTGTCAGCTGCCACTTGACCAGGATACTAATCACCTAATAGTCAGACCATAAAATCAAAACCCGTTTCCACCTCTGCTGCCATCTGTGTGGAAACTGTTGTCTGTGTGGTCACTCAAAATCAGAACCAGAAGCAGGCTTTGCCAAGAATCAGATTCACTGTGCGAGAGCCACATTGCTCAGTGAGTTTCATGAGGAAAGGTTAACTGAGGATTCAAGGGCCCAAGTCTCAGAAAAGGTGCACTTTCAGGCCATGTGTCTGATTCTCATGTTGGGACCCAGAAGGGCAGTACAGTAGTGAAACCTCCAGAAATAGACATCAAACCAGGAGTCAGAAACATTTGGTTGTTACTTTGCAGTTTGTTTTCTTACATGTAAGAGAATCAGCTGATACGCTAAATCAAGGAAATCCAAGAATGAGAAAAGAGAAAAAAAATATTTGCAGACTGGACACAGCAAGTCTTTTGTTTGCACGTTTTATGAGTAAACTGGTTAGCTGACTGCTACAGAGAGTTCAGTCTGCGTATTCTGCCCTTGTGTAGGAAGGCTAAGGATATCAAAGAAACCATTTTAGTTGTTTTAAAAAGTATATTTTAGTTGTGTAACATATGTGACAATCTTTCTAAGGTCTGCAGATCTTTTATCAGCACTGCTACCTTAAGCCAGGTATGCACCATTTCCCTCATTGAAATTTCTTCCTTATCAATATAAAAAAAAAATTTGGAAGCAACCCAAGTGTTCCGTAATAGGAGAATGGTGTGTCTAGTTGATGGAATATTATGCAGCCTTTAAAAATAGTTTATATCCTTAGACCTGACAGTTCCATTTTTAGTATTTCTGTTCTCTAGAAAAACTCGTAAACGAGGATATGTGCATAACAATGTGTGCTACAAGATTGTAATAGTGAAAACTGTGGCAAAGAAAATGTCTATCAGTAGGGAACTATGAGTCCAACCATAATGTGGAATACTGGGCAACCATTAAAAGGAATAACAGATATGTGTGGATTAACATGGAAGGATATCTGCAACATGCTGAGTACTTACTATGTGGTCTATGTTTGTTTTTTAAAAATAGCTTATTGAAGAATGTATATATAGAGAAAAAGACCTGTTAACAGAGTTTATCAGGATTCTGGTGAAAGGGCTGCCAAAGAATTTGGCTTTATATCTTACTTCTATATTGTTTGCATTTTTTTACAATAAGTGGTTACTACTTTTGTAATTAAAGTTATACCACTTATGAGAGGTTTTAACAACATGGGAAATACTTATATTAAGTGTAAAAGTGGGATATAAAACTTTATGTATAGTATCACAACTGTGTTTTCTTAAAGTGTGCATAGAAAGTGATTTGAAAAAACACACAAAGATGTTTCAGAAGGTGACTTTGGGTAATTGGAATAAACTTTTCTAATGGCCACCATGAAGGAACAGAGTTGGAGTCCAGGTAAAACCAGAAAGAACTGGTAGAAGATGAAAGCGTCCAAAAACTAGAGGTTGTGGTAAAGTTTAGTACGAGTTCAATAAAGGCAGGAGTGTAGGTGGTTTCTGAAAGAATTAGCTATTAGAGGCCAGCCTGGTGGCATAGCAGTGAAGTTTGCACATTCTGCTTCGGAGGCCCAGGGTTCACTGGTTCAGATCCTGGGCGCGGACCTACTCACCGCTCATCAAGCCATGCTGAGGTGGCGTCCCACATAGAAGAGCTGTAACTCTACAACTATGATACACAACTATGTACTGGGGCTTTGGAGAGAAAAAAAAAAAAGAGGAAGATTGGCAACAGATGTTAGCGCAGGGTCAATCTTCCTCAAAAAAATAAATAAATAAAAGAAGTGTGGAACCATCGTGTTCTGCAGTCAATGCCATTTGTAAAAAAAAAAAAGAATTAGCTGTTAAAAAGGTCTGTTTCTGGTAATTTGCTGCTGACATCTGTGCCAGTCTTCCTCTACTTTGTATGTGGGTTGCTGCCACAGCATGGCTGATGAGCAGCGCAGGTCTGCACTGGGGATCTGAAGCCATGAACCCAGGCTGCCGAAGCAGAGCACGCCAAACTGAACCACTATGCCATGGAACTGGCCCCTATTTTTGTGGTGTTTTTACACCCCTTGCCAAGAGCTGAAATAAGATGCATTAGATCAAAGGAATCTTTTTATGAAAAATATGCAAGGAATCAAATGCAAAGGTCAAGAGATAATAAACAGCAAGACTAGGGGCCCGCCTGGTGGTGTAGCGGTTAAGTTCACGTGCTGCACTTCAGTGGCCCGGACTTCGCAGGTTTGGATCCTGGGTGCAGACCAATGCACCACTTGTCAAGCCATGTGGTGGCGGCGTTCCGTATAAAGTAGAGGAAGATGGGCACGGATGTTAGCCCAGGGCCAATCTTCCTCAGCAAAAACAGGAGGATTGGCAACAGATGTTAGCTCAGGGCTGATCTTCCTCACACACACACACACAAAAAAGCAAAAATAAAATAAACAGCAAGATTAAAATGATAGATAAGACTAAGTGAATTTCAAATCATTGTTAAGTGTGAAACTTGCCTTTTATATCACTTTTATTTACTATAACTCTAAGGAATTAATTTATTTAAATTATTAGGTATTAACTTCAAGGACCAAACGTGCAGTTGCCTGTTCCTAAGAGTTATGGGGTGCTCTAAACAGACTGCTTCACATTTTGTAAATTTAGCTCACAGCTCTTTCAACATATATCTGGACTTTTCTCTTTTACTCTAACTCACTTCCTTTTCCTTTTCTTCATTGTTTAATCCCATCAAAGCTTATCCTGATGAAAATCATTTGACTGCTTCTAAAAGAGAACAAAAAGGGATCTCATGTTAATAATAATTTGTGTATCCTATAGTTTGCTTTCAAATATTTGCAGATTTTTCTGTAGCAAAACTTAATCCCTGACTGACTTCTCCTAGCCACACTGGTACACGCATTCCCCACCACTACCCCCACCCCAGTATCCCCATCGCCGCCACCACCACCACCACTAGTTGTTTTTCGCGTCTGGCATACATACTAACGTTCTGTTCTCTAGGCAGAAATTAGTTACAGCATAGATCTAATATAAAATGTATTCCATACAGGAGAATGAATTATTTCTGGATTACTCACTATTTTAACTGGGTTAGTATGTCTTCTTTTAATGTATTTAATCAGAAGTTGACTGTAATTGGTTTCATTTTTATTCCATTGTGTTCTTTCAATACTGACTACTATATAGTCAATCAGAGAAATTGTAATATTAGGTCTCTAGAAAGTAAGAGCAGGCCTTTTTCAACTGGGGCGTTATTTCTAATTGGTATTTTCTGGGTTAATTTTTGAAGGCATTAACAGTTTTTTCACCAAATTTGGTGAGGAATAACAAGGTGCCTGAGGTATATTTGGTAGTTTATAGTCTCATCGTGTAGTAGTCACATAGCTAAGAAGTTTTCAAATAGACATATTTTTAATGTTATTGTATTTCAATGCTATTTGATACTTGGCAAAGTTTGCAAAGAAGCATACTGAGAAGGCTTATAGTTCCCCACGTATCTAGATTTGATTGTCTTTAAGCTCCAAATAAATATATAGACAGTAAGTATAATTTCTTGTCTGTTCACTCAATTTTTTTAATATTCTATAGACATGTTGAATGTGAAGTGATCCACAACAGTTGAGGTTGTCATTGGTGAAGAATTCTGAACACTTGAATCATGCTTTCATTTAGTTCTTTAACTATGATTAGGTAGAACTTCAGAATTCTGTCCTGGCACTTGTGTATCCTAAGGATCAAAGGGAGTATGTGAAAAAGGAATTGGAAACTATAAAGTAGTAGACATATATAAAGTATTCTTTACTTGGTTTTAACCAGAAGACCTATCATAAGAAAGTCTCCTAAGGGAACCATGACACAGGTTACCACGTGTACGTTTACATTTGGGCTGCAGATTATGGATAGTAAATTTGCCTCAGGAAGAATAGACGAGTGGGATGCTTGCTGGTTCAGCGACCTTCCGTGGGCATTTATTGTCTAATGCTCAAAGATGGCACAGTGTGAGGGGCTATGCTACTGAATCAGAAATGTTTTTTTTCTCTATTTAAATTGTCATTTCACTCTTTTTGTGATTTGCATTCTTTCTTTCCTAGCTGACAGAGGTGTACTGTAGGAAGGTAAGGTACAGAGAAAGTTTGGGGTGAAGTAGTAAGAAAGAGGGAAAAAAGTAACATTTCTCTCATGGAATGAAAAATACTGTTAGTGTACCATACTGTATGTGAATGTTTATGTGTATCATATACTTGATAATTTTTTTTCTTTTAATCTAAATTTTATAATTGGGTCTAAATTATTCTGTCATATTTATTACCAAGTAACTTAACACAAATTTGCTAATTTATTATTCTGTTCTTATAGTTTTCAGCATTTGATTTCATCCCATCTCCAAAATTAAAGCCCTCTCAAGGAATGCCAGTCAATGATGATTTATGTTTTAGCAGAAAAAGAGTGTCAAGAAACTTATTTCAGACTAGTCGGGATTTTAACCCAGATTCTCTTCCTGTATGTGCTGCTGGTAAGTAAAAGATGCAGGTAGTGGACATGTTGAACTAAGTGAAAGATTTCTCTAAACTTCGTAGTTCATTCAAGGGCTCATAGAACTTACAATCTACTAGACAATTCAGATTCAATAAATATTTGTTAAAGATCTGATAAGAATGGACACTTTGACATAATTGTCTCACAAAACCCTGGAAAGGTTTCTCACTGAAACGCTTTGAGCAGTAATGTAAGGCAATATTCGCTTAATCAACAACTCATACTTATTTCCTGTGTATCAGGTACTTTTCTAAGTACTAGGGGTATAGCATTCAACAAAAAAGGGGAACTTTCTGCCTAATGGATCTTGCATTCTAGTTGGGGTGAAGCAGACGTTAAATAGATGCAAAAGCTAGTGGGTTAGGTGATGGTAAATGCTGCAGAGAACAATAAAGCAGAGAAGAGGAATGTGGAGGAGGCTATTTTAAATAGTGTGGTGGAAAAAGGCCATATTCAGAAGGGAATATTTGAAGCAAACCACACAGATTTCAAGAGAGAAGAGCAAGTAATTCCAGGAAGAGGGAACAGTCAGTGCAGGGTGTGAGACATGTTTGAGGGACATCAAAGAAGCTGGTAAGTCGGGAATGAAATGAGTAAGGAAAAGAGAAGTAGAAAATGAAATTAAAGAGATGATAGGGGTCCTTATTTATAAGACCTGGTGAGCTATTGAATGAACTTTGGCTTTTACTCAGTGAGGAATATTTTGAGGAAAGAAGCAACATCAGTTACCTTATGTTTTCTAGCCTTGTTTTGTTTTGTTTTTGTTTTTTTAATAATTTTATTTATTTACTTAATTTTTCCCCCAAAGCCCCAGTAGATAGTTGTACGTCATAGCTGTACATTCTTCTAGTTGCTGTATGTGGGACGTGGCCTCAGCATGGCCGGAGAAGCGGTGCGTCGGTGCGCACCTGGGATCCAAACCCAGGCCGCTAGCACTGAAGCACGTGCACTTAACCGCTAAGCCATGGAGCCGGCCCTCTTGCCTTGTTTTGGATGTCATGTTTAAAGTAGGCTTAAGGAGGGCGAGGGTGAAAACAGAGAGTCTGTTGTAGAGGCTGGAGTTGATGGAGACTTTCACTGGGTAGCAGGGAATGTCGTGAAAAGTGATTGGATTCTGATTATATGTCAGAGGTGGAGTGGATGTGATTGCTGACGGATTGGGTATACAGTGTGAGAGAGGGAATAGTCAAGAGTGCCCTAAGGGTTTTGGCTAGAGCAACTGGAAAGATGTTTAATTGCTTAAGTAAGTGTTACAGAAAGTAAAAATTATGGTAGTTCAAAGACATGGTCATTGTTGTGGGCCATATCAGTTAGAAAAGTCGTTAAAGAGGAGACAGTACTCAAACTGCATCTTTTGGGGATGTATGTGATACAAGTAGTTAGAGGGAGGTATGAGGAGAGCAAAGGCTTATATTAGGACTGGGCTTGAGATATTCTAGGTGCTGTGTAAAGGCAAGATCCACTTTAAAGATTTTTATTTATTTATTTTTTTCCCTCCAAAGCCCCAGTAGATTGTTGTATGTCATAGTTGCATATCCTTCTAGTTGCTGTATGTGGGACGCGGCCTCAGCATGGCCGGAGAAGCAGTGCGTCGGTGCGCGCCCGGGATCCGAACCCGGGCCGCCAGCAGCGGAGCGCGCGCACTTAACCGCTAAGCCATGGGGCCGGCCCGCAAGATCCACTTTACATGGTCAAAGATAAATTGGGGGCCGGCCCCGTGGCTTAGCGGTTAAGTGCTCACACTTCGCTGCCAGCAGCCCGGGTTTGGATCCCGGGTGCGCACCGACGCACCGCTCCTCTGGCCATGCTGAGGCCGTGTCCCACATACAGCAACTAGAAGGATGTGCAGCTATGACAGACAACTATCTACTGGGACTTTGGGGGGAAAATAAATAAATAAAATCTTAAAAAAAAAAAAAAGATAAATTGGGATTTGGGGAACCCTTGTGTGCTAGGCTCAAAAACTTGGGCTCATACTTATAAGTTATAGGGCCCTAATGGAGATTTTTTTATTAAGGAAAAAAGAAGCTAGAGTGATAAAGTTGTTTACAAATAGAATAGAAAGGAATAATCAGGAAAATATGACAACTGGATGTAAAAGGTGAAGAAGCGGGGGAGTAGAGAAAGATTTCAAGACTTAGCAACCAGGTAATTAGCAAAATGGTAATGTGTCGACAAAACGAAACCAGTTGGGAAGGGAAAATGGTTTATAAGGGAAAGATTGAGTTCGTCATAAGTGTTAACATTTATTTAATATCCAGATGATATCAGTTATTGAAATTTGTTGGCTATGAGTTCAGACACAATATTTAGAGAACATTGTTACCCTAGGAGAATTTATAGACTTTTATGCAGTAAAATTCCCTAATCTTTTCCGACAAAAATGAAAATAATGATTGTGTAGTTTAATGTTTATTTAATAGAGAAAAAGAAATGCAAGAATTTATCCAGTTATGCTCATACCATTCCTTTGGATTTTTATAAAGCTAATGGTTTCTGTACCATTGAGAAGCTCTTACCTAGTTGTACAGATTTTAAATAACTGGAGAATAAGACAAAATATAACCTAATGCTAGATTGGATGATACAAATTGTAATAAGTACCACGGGATTCAGGAAAGGAAAAGATCATAGGTATTGAAGTGGTTTATGAAAACTCCGGGAAAGAGGTTAGACTTGAGCTGGACTTGAAAGAAGGGAAGAGTCTGTGATTAGCAGTGAGGCAAGAGGGACTGTTGCAGGTAGGCAGAAAATACAGCCAAAGCATGGAGGTGAGACTTAGCTGAGAAGACAGCCAGTGCATGAAGGATAGAGGGGCCTGAAATCACAGGGAGAGAATTTAAAAATATCATTTCAGAACTACAAGGGATCAGCTCATTTTATAGATGAATAAACTGAACGCCAGAGAGTCATTATCATCTTCTTTTCTTCAGACTTATTCCCCTGCCCAGGAATAACCTTAATCAGCCACAGGAGAGGGAAAGGGATCTGGGAAGCATGCCTAGATAAGTCTGGAAACCATGTGAACGCTGTGTTATAAATATGTGAGGAAAGGAAGGAGAAGAGTTCTGCAGTAGAACTTTTTGGGTAGAGTGTACACTACAAATACGGGGAAGAGGGAGAAGCCAGGTCTGGAGAAACATTTCATGGTGAGAGAAGGGAGCGTGTAGGGAGAAACTGCCTTTGTGTGTACTTTTTAATATACTTTTCTTTTCTCTGTACTTTACCAGTCTGTCTTCTGTCCTTTACCCCTGCCACTAATCAGATCTGCCAATAGCAAAAGCTTTATCCCTTTCTTGCCTCTCTGGCTCACTGTACATATACTCCTATATTCATTCCCACACAAATGACACCAATATCTGTGAAATTAGATGTATTCATGAAATAAAGTTAACCTTTACTTTTATGTTTTTCTCTTCTTTCCTTGCACAGGCACCACTGGGACTCATCAGACAAATTTTTCTGGGAAATGTGGACAACTTGTATTTTCACAGACATGTGGTAAAACTGGCAGTGTGGATTCTGACTTACAGTACCTGGGGACAACTAATAGTCATCAAGATAAAGGTTTAAATTCCAAATTTATTTGGATACAAATTTTTCGTAACTATTATGTGGGGTTTCCAAATCTAGCGTATATATTATTTTGTGTAATTATACTTATCACAAAAAAAGAAAAGGATGTTGTTATATTTTTAATAACTTTAATATAATTTTTTTGTAAGTGTTACCCTAAAATGTTAGATTTAGTGATCTTAATATAAACATAACTGGTTAAAATTAGAGAGTTTAGAAACTCATGGTGGAGATGAGCATTTTAATACCAAGTAATTGAAAATAACGTTATCCATTAAGGAGTACTGTGTTAGCAGAAGACAATTATTTTCCATAATGGTTTTTAATTTTAAGGCAATTTAGAATTTATTATGTCCCCTGTTAGGAACCGTAACTTCCTGACTAGCTATCGTTTCAGATACCTTATATGTCTATCAGATATAGAAGAAAAGGAAGGGTTTGAGGCTAGCTGTCAGTCATATGAATTTTGGATTTGAAGGAGTTTCTTAAATTTCCATGCTGATTAATAGCTTTATCAGTTATTATTTAGAGATAGGATCAAATCAAATATTTCTAGAGATATTTTAATTTTTGTTGTATATCCTTTACTAAAGTTTTTTGAGTGATAGGGTTGTTCTTTGAGGGATATACTTCTGTCTTTATTTGTTAATGAAAAAGTAATAGTCATTTGAAATTAGTAAAGAAGATTTAGTTAATATAGCACTTATATTTTAGCTACCATTTCCTCTACCCACTCCATAGGGCCACATAACTCCATAAAGTTTTTCTTTGTGGTGTTATTTTTGATAAAAATAGTCTGTCTTTTTTAATGATACAGCTATTTCCTAAATCTTGACTAGATACTTTTGAGACTTGTGATTAGTAGAAGCAGAGAGGATTCTCTGTGTTGCTCACCCTGTTCCTGTTCAGGATATCCCTGAATGATTACATTACCTTGAAGACACCTCCACTCTCAGTGCTTAGTCAGATCTTCATAGCGACTCTGGTTTTCTATAACCTCTCAGAATACCTATTAGAGCAACTACTAAAGGGATACTATGTTCTTCTAAAGTCAGGATTTAACTTAATACTAGGCTATACATTAAAAAATCTGCCAGGACCGCCACCATCTCAACTAACATTCTCCATGAGATTTCTGAAGGACTGGGGTATGGATGCCAGATGCCCAACCATCTAGAAGTTCCCATCCCAATTTTAAATGTTGCAGTGATCCACACCGAATGCTAGAAATGTTGGTATATTTTGTTGCATTCCATTGGTTCTATTTATATGCATAAAAAGATCTGATGTTTGATTTCTTTCAAGAAATATTTTTAAATCTCTTAATAAAAGGAATATATAATGAGACACTGACATGAAAGCATCAGTATGTATTAACAGAGCACTATAATTGAAATCAGGAAAGTGAAAAGTTTTCATTCTGAATGTTAATTTGTGACCTCTTAAGTCTCCTATAGTCCCTTTTCCACCCAAATAAGATTTAGCTAGAAGTAGAGGTCCTAAGCATGTCAGATGTGAATTAAAAATAGATGATATGTAATATATATAGTCGTTTAAGTCTTCAGAAGAGTGTTATTTGTTAGTATACATAGCTAGGTCTTTTGTCATGGAAAGTCTTCCAAAAAATATTAAAGGAAAATTTAAGGGAACCCCTTAAAGTTACAAATGGACTTTTATATTAGTTGAGGAGTAAAAAGAAAAGATCAATGAAAGGCAAGAAAAAATAATAGAAAAAAATAAAGAAAAACAATAAGTAGAAAGCACAAAATAAGACAGTAGAATTAAAACCAAATATATATCAGTAGTTACCATAAATATAATGGACAGAACTTACCATTTAAATAGCAGAGATGATCAGATTTTATTTTACTTATTAAAATTGAAATGCTGTTTTTAAGAGCCACACCTAAAACACATCAAAATAGAATGGGAGAAAGTAAAACATGGAAAAGATACACTAGGTGAACACTCAAAGAAAGCAGAATAGCAAAAATATTGATGTTAGGGAAAATGTGCACACTAAAGCTTAAAACATTGTTAGGGCTAAAGAGGGTCATTATAGTGAAAAAAGAACAATTCACTAAGAAGATAACACTTTTCTAAAATGTGTGTGTGTATATATATGTATGTGGATATATATGTAATTTGATAAAATTACAAGAATAAAATAAATCTATACATGCTGGTAGAAAATTTTAATAGGAAAAAGAAGTTTTGGATTAGATGATATAGAATATTTGAACAACACAATTAATCAGCTTGTAAAAGTTGTCTCAATTAGAAATCGAAAATCCGGATAGACCTGTAATCATTAAAGGAATTTTATTTAGAAATTTTACCCACAAAAACAAACCAACAATAGCTCCTAGGCCCTGATGGTTTTCTTAGTATTCTGTCAAACCTTCAAGAAAGAGGTAAATTCCATCGTATTAAGAAAAGAAAGAATAAAAAGAATTAAGAGGTTAATTATTATTTGAAAGAATTAAGAAAGAAAGAAGTCTCCTTATTTCATTTAATGAAGTGAGAATAACCTTAATATCATGACCAGATAAGGTCAGTGAGTAAAGGAAATGAATGATAATCCAGTCTCACTTTTGTGAAACCAAGTACAGCAATGGGTTTTTAACATTTGTATTTTGTGTATTACGTCTAAGTAGGAGTTTTCCAGAAAAACCTATAGTTTAAGCTTATCACAGATGGAAGGAGGAAAACCACATAATTGTGTCAATAGATGCCGTAAAAGCATTTGATAAAAATTCAACATTTATGCATTATAAACTCATAAACTTAAGAATAACTTTCTAACCCTGATTAATGATATCTGTTAAGACCTATAGCAAATGTATTTAGTGGTAAAATATTAGAATTCACTTTAAAGTCAAGAATAGGACAAAAATGCTCACTATTAACACTGCTGTTGAGCATTTAATTTACTAATTCCTCTAATATTTATTGAGAACCAGGCACTGTCCTAGAATCTGAAGATCAAAATCTGGTAGGGGAGAAGTAAACCATGAATGAACAATAAGAACGGAAATAAGTGCTGTGAAGAAAAACAGGCAGAGTGAGTGGACAGAATGTGACAGGGAAAGCTTCTCTGAAGTGATAACATTTAAGCAAACCTGAGTGAAGTGAGGGAGTGAGCCACATGGATATCTGGAGAAAGCACATTACAGGCAGAGACAACAACAAGTACAAATGCTCCAGCGTAGGACCATGTTTGACTTGCTGGAGGAATAGCAAGAAGGTCAGTGGAATGAGTGAGGGGAGAACAATTACAGGAGATAACCTGTGGCCTTGTGGGGCGTGGTAAGGATTTGGGATTTTATTCTGAGTGGGATGGCAAGTCAATGGAGGTGTAGTCCATATGGTCCATGGAAATCAAATAGTGTGATCTGACTGCCTTTTAAAAGGATCAGAGCTGCTGTGTAGAGAATAGGCTTGGCAGGAGTGGGGGCAGAGTGCAAAGCAAACCAGTTAGAGGTTATGGCAGTAGGAAAGGTGAGAGGCGATATGACTTGTGTTAGAGAGGATACTAATACGAGTATCCATATTAGTATCAGTATCAGTATCATAATTCCAATTATGGAATTGGATGGAAGTGATGAGAAATAGTTGGATTCTGAAATACAGTTTGTAAATATAGATAATTTTATTTTATCCTGTATACTAAAGTAATACTAATAAGCCATTTATTCTGTATTCACCTAAGTTTTCAGACTTAGTGATCACTCTGTATTGCTAACATAGAGCCAGCAAGATTTGCTAATGGATTAGATGTGAAGTTTGAGAGAAGAGAGGAGTCAAGGGTGAGTCCAGTGTTGTTGGCCTGAGCAACTTGAAGGGTAGAGCTGCTGTGTATGCAGAACAGGAAGGTTAGGAGAAGAGCAGTTTGACTGGGAAATCAGGAGTTTTATTTTGGACATGTTAAGTTGGGAACGCCTGTCTATTTAGAGAAGATGTTGAGTAGCATTGTGATGTTGAGTCTGGAGTTTAAGGAAAAAAATCAGTGCTAAAAATTAGGGAGTCAATGTACTCTCTATCTAGGGAGGGCCTAGTTCAAAATTAAAAGTATAAAATTTGAAGAGGAAGAAACAAAAATTGTCATTATTCCCAGATAAAACATAGTACAATGTAGTGGTTAAGAGCACAGGTTTGTGGGGCGGCCCAATGGTGTAGTAGTTAAGTTCACACCCTCCGCTTTGATGGCCCGGGGCTCTCGGGTTTGGATCCTACATGAAGACACCGCTCATCAAGCCATGCTGCGACGGTGTCCCACATACAAAATAGAGGGAGACTGGCACAGGTGTTAGCTCAGGGACAATCTTCCTTAAGGAAAAAGAGGAAGATTGGCAACAGATGTTAGCTCAGCACCAATCTTCCTCACCAAAAAAATAAAATGAAAACAGCTATAAAAGATATTTAAAGAAAGAGCACAGGCTTGGGAACCATAGTACCTGGGTTTGTATCCCAGCTTTATAATTTCCTAGTCAATTTACATATCCCTCTTTACTTTTTTTTTAATCTGTAAATCGAGGAACAGTACCTACCCACAGGGTTATTGTGAAGATTGAATTGGTTATACACATGAAGTGCTTAGAACACCACCTGGCACATAGTTGGTGCTCAATCAGCTCATCACTGTCTCATCACAGTCACCATCATTATCATCATTACCATTATCATATTATCTACATAGGAAGTCTAAAAGGATATACAAAACGCTATTAAAATTTTAAATAATTTAGCAAAGTTGCCAGCTACAAAACCAGAATGTAGAAGTCAATAAAGTTCCGAGATACCAGCAACCTTTAGAAAATGTAGTTTTTAATAAAGAAATTACAGTGTCAACAGAATTTGTATCTGGAAATCTAAGAAAAGATTTGTGTACCTTTTATTATGAAAGCTAAAATATACTTTTTTGAGAGACATAAAAGAAGACCTAAATAAATTAAAGGAGATCCTGTATTTTTAAACAGGGACACTCAATATCAGGCAGTTATTCCTAGATTAATCCTTAAATTCAATGTCATTCCAATCAAAATCCCACCAGAGTCTTTTATGAAACCTGACAGGCATATCCTGAAATACATACAAAAGAATGGAAGGCCAGGAATGGCCAAGATAATTCTAAAGAAGATCAAAATGGAAGGACACTCATCCTATCAGTGCAATGATAAATAAAATGTTGTACTACCAGTGCAGGGATAGACAACATAGACTAATGGAACCAATAGGGAACACCTAAGAAGAGACCCAAATATATATGTGGGAGCTTTGTAGAGGAAAGGGAAAGGATGGGCGGTTTAAAAAATGGCACTGGAAAAGAGTGAAATTCATACTGTACAAAAGATAAACGCCAGATCGGATAAAAACCTGCATGTGAAAAGCAAAAAAACTTTAAACTCCTAGAAGATGTGTGTACATAAATGACATATTCTCTTGTTTTGTTACAGTGTATGCTAGCCTAAATTTTGGCAGTAAGACACAGCCGACGCTTGGTAGTCAAACAGAACGTACTTCATCATACTCTGGTCCAAATCTAAGTCCAGGAGCCTTCATGCTTCCATCCTATCCTCTCTCATCACCTCGAACTAGTCCAAAGCACACATCTCTTACCGTATCTCCAAAGAAATCTCGAGATAATTCTGTTAATTTCTCAAATTCCTGGCCTCTTAAAAGCTTTGAAGGACTATCAAAGCCAAGTCCGCAGAGAAAGCTTGTCAGCCCAAAATCATCTGACCCTACAGGTAGTAACGATGGTAAAAATTAATACTTTGTTAAATTTATTTGTATATTTAAATTATTACTTTGGAGTTAGGGTTGTTTGATCTTTAAAAGCTGGTAAATTGCATTTTATTTCTCTGAATTGGTAAATAGCTGGGAAGGTATTTAACAGTGTATTAAATAGATCAAATGTGTTATATAAAATTCAATTGAAATTGTCATTTCTGTCTTTTTTTTTTTTACAATTTTATTTATTTATTTTTCCCCCAAAGCCCCAGTAGATAGTTGTATGTCATAGTTGCACATCCTTCTAGTTGCTATATGTGGGACGTGGCCTCAGCATGGCCGGAGAAGCGGTGCGTCGGTGCACAACCAGGATCCAAACCTGGGCCACCAGTAGTGGAGCGCGCGCACTTAACCGCTAAGCCACGGGGCTGGCCCTGTCATTTCTGTCTTATATTGCCACTTCAAAGTCCTTTTTCGGAACTAGGCAAATAATGCTGTATAACAGACATGAATATGAACAGCCTGAGAGCCTACTAACAAATGTTTATGTAAAATTATTTTGAAGGGTCTTTTATTATTTGTTATAGACTAAAATATTCTTAACAATAGCCCACTCCAAAATCATGAAATTAGCATATAAGTTTATTCAAGAAAGAGCCCGTCTCAAAATAAAAAGCCTGTTAAAGGTGACCCCTATATCCCACGTACTTTCTTATCCCCAGCCTCTGAGGTCAGATGTTCCACCTTTACATTGCCCCGCAACACCAATGTTCCAGGTGATAGCCATAAGGTCAGTTTATTGTATAGTACAGTCAGTTTTATCACTTTCTCGCACTGAACCTTCATTCCCTTCTATTAATTTCTTTCTATGTTTGTCTGTCCCACAAGATCTAATATTGTATTGAAAGCTGAGACCTTATTCAGTTTGTTCTCCCCAGTGTCCAATATTACTGCTTTGCATATAGTAGTCGTTCAAATGTTGCTTACGTAATGAAATCAAGCCAGAAAAGCAGCCTTTGTAGCTTATTATGGACTTTACCATACAAATATTAGTCATGATAATGTGTATGAAGATAGCAATTTAACTTGGTATGTAATATTTTTATTTAATATGAAAGAATTTCCAGTGGCTCGTTGTTATATTTAGGGAACACTAATACTTTTATCTCATTTTAAATAATAATCTTTGTTTCTAATAAAAGATAATGTGCTTTTTAATTTAAAAACACTATATTCCAAACGCTTGTGATTATAACTCTCACTTCTCTGAAATTAAAAAAAAAGTAAAATATGTATTTTCCATGCAGGAAAAGATTCTCAAGAAAAACCTTCTCCAGTTCAACTTACACCTGCCTTGGTGAGATCACCATCTTCCCGACGAGGCCTGAATGGGACCAAGCCTGTCCCTCCTATTCCCAGGGGAATCAGCCTTCTGCCTGATAAGGCGGATTTAAGCACAGTGGGACCCAAAAAGAAAGACCCTGATGATATTTGGAAGAGTGAAAATGATAGTCTTAAAATTGATCTTTCAGAATTAAATATCAAGGATAAAGATTTGGATCAAGAAGAGGTTAGAACCAAATACCATTGTTAATAATTTTAAAATGCTTGTGATTTTCTGTAGTATAATAGTTGTTATTGAAGGAAAAATCAAGTACTTTTTATCCCATAACATGTTTTCTTATACAAATATTTCATGTTCATTATAGAAAATGTGGAAACTATAGTGAAGTATTAGGAAGAAACTTCATCACACCAAATCCCACTACCTAGAATAATTTACCATTGACACTCTAATATGTTTCCTTCCTGTATTTCTTCAATGCATATATTATTCCTTTTTAAGTTAAAAGTATGTGTAATATAGCAATATACCCAGGCACTAACCCCTCCCAAATGAACAATTTGTCATATTTGTTTCCTATTTTTAAAATAAATGAAACATAATATAGTTCCCTCTCCAATCTAGTCCTCTCCCTCCTTCACCAGAGGCAACCATTATCACCATGAATTCATATTTTATGTATTTTTATACTTTTTATACTAATATATTAATATTTTGGTATGTTTATATTGTATTTATATAATTGATTTTGGCTCATGTCTAGTTCTTGCTATTGCAAACAGTGCTGCAGTGAACATTCGTGAGCATGTCCCTTGTGTATACGTGCAAGTGTATTTCTCTTTATGAAATTGAGATCATGTTGTAAACTCATCTTTGAATCCCAGGTCACTCCATTAATACTATAAAAATGTATTGGCAATATAACTCTACATACTAATGATGTCAGAGAAGGAATGTGGTTGTTATATTAGTTTGGATCCAGAGCCCTATTTTCATAAATGCTTCCTTTTTATCCTATCAGTCTGCTTGACCTCAGATTTAAAAAAGTTACATTAAATATGGAAACTGAAACACTTGATGATATTCTGTGGCCTTATTTTAGCCTATTTTTAAGATGTAACCATCGTACTGATAGTTTACTCAATAAAATAAAGTTAATATTAATGCATATTCATTTTAAAAATATTTCTTTAATGTTAAGCATGTGTAAAACTAAATTATAAAATACCAAAATTGGTTCTTAATGAATTAATTAGTCATTCCAACTTCTAACTGCTTGTAAAAGCTTTCCTTTATTTATTTATTTTGTGAGGAGATCAGCCCTGTGCTAACATCCACCAATCCTCCTGTTTTTTTCTGCTGAGGAAGACTGGCCCTGGGCTAACATCCGTGCCCATCTTCCTTTACTTTATATGGGACGCCACCACAACATGGCTCGCCAAGCAGTGCGTCGGTGCACGCCCAGGATCCGAACTGGCGAACCCCTGGCCGCCACAGCGGAGCATGCGCACTTAACTGCTTGTGCCACCAGGCCGGCCCATAAAAGCTTTCCTTGTTTTTCTCCCTCAATTGTACTTCAGTGGTACTTGGAAGAGAATTTATTTAAAGGGAAGAAACTTATAGAAGAGGCATTTTCCTACGTAACTCATAAATTTCATCTGATCGTACATATTTTTGCATTGTTTTTATAACTTAAAAGTAGCCCTTTTTCTTTTAATGGATAATTGAAAAGGTAATTTCTTCTATATAATTATTGGTAAATGTAAGAGAACACTAATGTTTTTAGATATTCAACCTTCCAAGGATTTACTAGAGAAGTGACCATACTATTCAATTAAGCATTATAATTGTTATAATCAAAATGTAGACAAAACACAGCTTATGTATGTTTCTGTGTTCCTTAATTTGTTCACGGGTTCTATTCCCAACCTTAATATATTAGTTTGTAATAACGATTTCTACTCTGCATTTCTAGAAATACTTGGCTTCAGAAGTCACATACAGTGATCTGTTATTCTCTGAACTCTAACACTGGCAAGCTTGATGTAAACTTCAAATTTGAGAAAACTGATTACTTTCTATTAACTTTCTCATAGAACTGCTAAGTAGCCACATCAGCACACCAGTGACCTAAGATTAGCTGGACCTCTGTGACTCAACTCTGCTGTCTACCATGTGATTCAATGATTCGCTTATTAATTGAATGATTACAATAGATTATTCGTGCCCAGTGCTGTAAATACCGTGGTGAATAATAGCTTTAGATCCTTCCTTTTAGGATCTAGGCTTACAACCTAGAAGTTTGTTTATAATCCGTTATAATACCTAACGGATGAAATCTGTATTTATGCTATGTCCAGACATGTTAACATCCATCTTGTTAGTTCTAGATTGGAAAGTGGCTAGCTAGATATAGTTAATGGAGTTTAAAATCTAAGGATAACTTTTACTAATATAATTATCTTGTAAAGTTAATTGTTTTTATTTTTTCTTAGATGCAGAGCTCTCTCAGGTCCCTTCGTAATAGTGCAGCTAAGAAAAGAGCAAAGCTGAGTGGCAGTACTTCTGATCTTGAAAGCCCTGATTCTGCGATTAAGCTCGACTTGACTATGGACTCCCTGTCTCGATCTTCCTCTCCAAACGTCAGCTCCTACAGTGAAAGTGGAGTTTACAGCCAAGAATCACTGACTTCTTCTCTGTCTACAGCTCCCCAGGGGAAGAGAATAATGTATTTTATTTTTTGACATGTTAAATGAGTGCTAATCTGTAATTTGTGGTCTGAAGCACTAATATCATATTTGAAAAAAACTTTCATTAAATTTTTAGTTTTTAAAATGTTGAAATATGTTTATAAGACAACAGAAAAGTTTACAGATATTACCTTGCTTGGCTTTGCTTTGGAGTGGGGCCGGAGAGAGAGAACAGGGTCCCAGCTGGAACCTAGAGAGAGCACGGCCCCAGCTGGAACGTAGAGCACCTAAATTAATGTAAACCCCATTCCCAAAGCCCGGGTTGTTCTTCTGCCTGCCTAAGATTTATCCTATTCCTTGTTCTTTAGCCCTTTTCTGGATCATTGACTCTTGAGGTTGACCTATAGCTGATATTACTGCTTTCATTTAAAACTCGGCATCGATTTCCTCTAACTTACGGGTAAACTCCACCCAGCCGTTACCCAACTGTTGTATTTTGTTATTCTGTTATTGTGTAGAAGCTTAGGGCTCCATGCCGTGGCTTTCGCAGCCCTCTGAGGAGTCTCCGTACAGCAGTAGTGCTGGAACTAGAGTCCTGGCCACCCCACACTGACAGAGAATGATGTGCCAGTATAGCAGTTTGACTAACTTTTCCAGATTACCTGAGTAACCTCTAAGTCTTAAACAGTGTTCTCACCTTGATTTCTGAGCGTTTCTGTGACCCTATTCTAGGATTTGGGGGACTCCCTTCCCTCTACTTTAGACAAAAACCTAAGAGTAGAATTGCTAGGTCATAGGGGGAGGTGTACATTTAATTGCTAGGTCATAGGGGAGATGTACATTTAACTTTTTATTTTTTTATTTTATTTTTTTTAAAGATTTTATTTATTTATTTTTCCCTCCAAAGCCCCAGTAGATAGTTGTATGTCATAGCTGCACATCCTTCTAGTTGCTGTATGTGGGACGCGGCCTCAGCATGGCCGGAGAAGCGGTGCGTCGGTGCACGCCCGGGATCCGAACCCGGGCCGCCAGCAGTGGAGTGCACGCACTTAACCGCTAAGCCACGGGGCCGGCCCAATTTAACTTTTTTAAATAACTGCTAAACAGTTCCCCAAGATGCTTGTGCAATTTTACCACCCCCACCGGCGATGTATGTGAGTTCCAGTTGTTTCACATCCTGATTAACATTTGCTGTTGTCAGTCTTTTTAATTTTACTTTCCTTTGCTTTTATTCTGAACCATGTTTATATATAGCTATTAGAAGTAAATATTTAAAATTAAATTAAATTATTTTCATGTCCGTGAACTGGAACCTCTAACAATGTGGGTAAATAGAGATTGCATAATCAAAGGAGAGATGGTGTTCTATTAACTTCAGTGAAAAAGGGTGTTTTGTTTCAGCAGTTCATAGAATTAAACTGAATTTTTGTGTCCCATTGTGAGAAATTTGTCTCATCCCATGATCTCCTTTTCATTTTTAACTTAAATAGCAACTTATTTTACAGTTGGAAATTTTTTGTTACTGAAACTTCCTTTGTTGTAATTACCTAGGTAGAGTAATGCAATTGGAATGGCTATATGGGCTGATGAAGTAACTATGTTTACATTAGGTTACCAGACATTTCAAATATATATATTTATGTTTTAGACCTAGAGTCCTTCCCTTATCTTCTGTGAATGTGAAATTTTTTTTAAAGATTTTATTTATTTATTTTTTTCCCCCCAAAGCCCCAGTAGATTGTTGTATGTCATAGCTGCACATCCTTCCAGCCGCTGTATGTGGGATGCGGCCTCAGCATGGCCGGAGAAGCGGTGCATCGGTGCGCGCCCGGGATCCAAACCCCGGGCCTCCAGTAGCAGAGTGCGCGCAATTAACCGCTAAGCCACAAGGCCGGCCCTGTGAAATTTTATCTTATATTCTCCTACAGTTACAAGGTCCTATAAGTAATTTGGAACCCAGTTGGGAAGAAAAATTCATTTTATATTATAACACTTAGAATTCACTATTCTCTTTATTGTTTGATGCAGTTATTCTCTTCAGATGTTGAGCTCTGTGAGAAGGGAGTTCAGTGTATCCTCATTTATGGACTGAATTTCCGCATTTAAGTGGAATGGCTTTAGGGCAATTCTTCTCAACCAGCTTGCATCCCGCCTTAAGAATCATGGCCAAAGGAAGCCACTGCTGTCTCATGCAGGCCTTTCACCCTTAAGTGGGTTGAGGAGGAAGATTGTTGAGAATCACTCTTCTAGAATTATTTCCTTTCGTCCAAGTCAAATACACTAGGTATAAATGTAAATAGACAATCATCTATTCTAGAGAAATTACTCTTTTAAAATATTGAACATTGATTTCTCACTAAAGCCACTATACTAAGAATTGTACTCCTTTGTAAAGTCTCTTCTTCATAATTCCCATCACTGACTTATTGACATTACCACAGTTACTGATTTCAAACAGTTCCCTTGCATTCAGATTTAACGTTCTTCAGTTTGCTTTCTTTGTGAAACAAGGCCTGTAGGGTTTATAATGTCAGGAAAGTGCAGCAAAGAGTAGTCCAAGAAGAAAGCGGCATTTGCGAAACTCACTTGTTGCTAATCTATTTGTAATATGTTCAGTCTCTATTTGATTATTATATATGAGAGTAGATAGTATATTAGATAATTGAGTCATTTGGTTTAGTTTTGGAATGGACTCTCTTTGGATCAGTTCTTTTTGACGCAATGGAAGATTATAAGGTACAAATTGGAGAGTCTTCGTTTCCTTTGACAATCCTCTAGTGAATAATTAAGAATTGACCATAAGTTATAAGAGTGTTGAACAGCTCTAGATCTTAAATGTTTATTGAAGTTACTTTGTTTCATTGTAGGTCAGACATATTTCCAACATTTGGATCAAAACCTTGTCCAACAAGACTTTCTTCTGCAAAGAATAAAAGCCCTCAGATAGCTGAACAGAGCACCCGTGCAGGTATTCTGTGACTGTTTTATAAATATGATTTACAGAAAGTGTGATTTTTAAATGATGTCAAAAATAATAATGAATGCATTTCAGATTTAGAATTTTTATAGTTATGATTAAGACTAATCCTCGGGCCGGCCCCGTGGCTTAGCGGTTAAGTGCGCGCACTCCGCTACTGGCGGCCCGGGTTCAGATCTGGGGCACACACCGATGCACCGCTTCTCCGGCCATGCTGAGGCCGCGTCCCATATACAGCAACTAGAAGGATGTGCAACTATGACGTACAACTATCTACTGGGGCTTTGGGGGGGAAGAAAAAAAAGGAGGAGGATTGGCAACAGATGTTAGCTCAGAGGCGGTCTTCCTCAGTAAAATGAGGAGGATTAGCATGGATGTTAGCTCAGGGCTGATCTTCCTCACAAAAAAAAAAAAAAAAAGACTAATCCTCTTTTTAACTCCTTAAAAGGCCATTTTGGCAAGAATAAATATACTACTATTCTTGGAAGAAGTATTTACCCAAATAATTGATCCCCCTGTAAGCCCACAGGTATACCTGTGCTGGGCTCCCTCATCCAGACATTTTGATTTCATTGATATGGAGTGCAACCTGGGCATCAGAGTGTTGAAAGCTCTCCAGGTGGTTCTAATAGCACAGTTCAGGAACCGCTGGGCATCACAAAAGACAATTTCTTTTAAAAACAATATTTAGGGGCCGGCCCCATGGCTTAGCGGTTAAGTGCGTGAGCTCCGCTACTGGTGGCCTGGGTTCACATCCCGGGCGTGCACTGACGCACCGCTTCTCTGGCCATGCTGAGGCTGCGTCCCACATACAGCAACTAGAAGGATATGCAACTATGTAATACAACTATCCACTGGGGCTTTGGGGAGAAAAAGGGAAAAACAGGAGGAGGATTGGCAATAGATGTTAGCTCAGGGCTGATCTTCCTCACCAAAAAAAAAAAAAAAAAAGAACAATATTTAACTAGTAGTTAAGTTCATGTGTATCTTGTCTTAAGAATTTTGTGAACTAACCTGGAAGTCTCTGTAACATCACTTTTCAGAAAATATTAGTTATTAGTAATCAATTAGAAAAATGTTTGGATCCTGATCTATTTAGGATGGGAACTGCATGCGATTCTTCTTTATGATTGGTAAAACTGTATTGAATTATGAATGCCATGTAACAAATTGGGATGTGATATTTGTTTTCACATGATCTCAGTGTAAAAGTCCTAATAACTTTAAGGCTACTTTACCTTACATAATAATTACCTTCCTAAAAAGCTGTGTATGTATCTAATCATTTGCTAAGATTTTTCATTTCTTGCTCCTAAATATGTCTTAATTTCATCTCCTCTTTTTAGTCCCACTATCACTCTTACTCTTACCTTCTTAGCCTCCTAAGATTTATCTCCGGCTTTAGTCTCATTCACTTACGGTCCATTCCCCACGATGCCAATCTGACTATATTCCCCAGCCCGAATTTATTCAGGGCATTTTTCCATGATCTGGCCCCTGCCTACCTCTCCAGCCTCATTTTTAACTTCCCTCCAGTTAAGTCAGACCACCTTCAGCACGATTTCCTGTCTCTTTGCAGTTGCACTTACTGTTTCTTCTGGATGAAATCTGGAATCCACGCCACACCCCGTTCAGCTGTGTAAACAGCTCAGTTGCTTTCTCTGAGAAGCCTTCCCTAATTCACAAGCAAAATTATTACCTCTTTTATGATATCATTACATTTTGCACTGATATTTTTATGGTGGTTGCAATTATTTTACTTTTTTGGACTCTCTGATTCTTGATCCCCAGAGATGGCTTAGCTCTGATTACCTACCAAGTGTCTGTCATAATCATGAATGTCTGACTCAACCACGTGTGCCTGGTATACTGGCTTGCACAAAGCTAGTGTTCAACAAAGAGGTAGTTACTCTACTGGGCACAGGAAGACAGTGTGTATGTGCTTTGGAGTCTGAAAGACCCCAGCTGGAATCCTAGTTTAATATTTAATAACCATATTCATGAGCTGTGCAAGTTACTTAACTGCTTTGACACTCAGTTCCCTCATCTGGTAATGTAAACTTTGAGGAGGGTAGTGAAGATTTAAGGACAACATATATAAAGCACCTAGTGCATAGTGGGCACTTGGTAAGTATTTGTTCCCTCGAAGGGGAAGACACAAAGAGGTATAATACATAAACTTATTCTTTAATCCTTTTTTAAGGCTAATCATCCTAGTAAATTATTTGTAACTTTAAAAACATTTATATAAGTTTGAAGAAACTTATTATTGCTAGGTTGTATCTAGTTTATAAAAATGGAGCCCTCTTTTGGAAGAATATCTTTGGAATTAGAAAAGAATAGATTTAGAAAACCTAGATTTGAGTTTCCCCCTGACCCTAGTTGTATGACCTCGTGAGTCATTTAAGTTTTAGTAGAGTGATAGGTCTTATAACTTTTATATGCAATATTTAATGTTTCCCAAACTTGCCTAATCCTAGTAATCACCAGGGATGCATGTAACATAGATTCTGGGCCTCACCTCATACCTAATGAATCAGTCTTCAGGGTTAGAAATATATATTTTTAACAAGTAACTTAGGTATTTCTAGGATCAAGTTTTGGAAACACTATTATTGAATTCACTGTAAGATATTCTTGGTTAAATTTAATGTGCTTTCAAAATGTAAAGTTGCTAATGGTTTAGGATTTTACAAACTTGGGTTTATATTTTTTGTTTATGTGGGATAAGGTTTGTTTTCTTTTTAGTAAGCAAATGATTCCTACAAGTTTGTCATTTAATTGGTAAAACATAAAAATGATAACGCTCAGAATAAAGACTATCTGAAGACAAAAGCAAACAAAATTATGTAAAAACTGTAAATTCAATCTGTCTTTACAACAGCATTTTCAATAAATATTTCCACATATATTCTACCAATACCTATTACAGCACATTGTGCTAATTTCCTGAATGATGTTAAAGTTTTTTCCTGTAGCCTTAGATTAGTATCACCTATTAAGAGAAAGCATTTTTGGGACCGGCCCGGTGGCATAGTGGTTAAGTACGCGCGCTCCACTTCAGCAGCCCAGGGTTTGCGAGTTCAGATCCCGGGCACACACGGACGCACCATGTGTCAAGCCATGCTGTGGCAGCATCCCATATAAAGTAGAGGAAAATGGGCACGGATGTTAGCCCAGGGCCAATCTTCCTCAGCAAAAAGAGGAGGATTGGCATTGGATGTTAGCTCAGGGCTAATCTTCCTCACACACACACAAAAAAAAAAGAGAGAAAGCATTTTCACCCAAGGCCAGTATCTTTATGAGGCTTACTTATGAATTAACTATCAAAACTGAGAAGAATCAGGGCCAGCCCCGGTGGCCTAGTGGTTAAGTTCGGTGTGCTCTGCTTTGGTGGCCCAGGTTCGGTTCCTGGACGTAGACCTGCACTACTCGTCTGTCAGTGCCCATGCTGTGGCGGTGACCCACATACAAAATAGAAGAAGATTGGCAACAGATGTTAGCTCGGGGCAAATCTTCCTCAGCAAATAAAAAAAGAAGAAGAAGAACCTAGAAAGATATCCATATTACTCCCAGAAGTTCTCTATCATTTAACATCAGATATCTTTTGAGTCTTTCTCTATGAACTGACTATAGTGCCCTTGACTCTACAGTCGTCTCTAGCCCAGCTGCCACCAGCCACTTCCTCTCCCCACCATCCCATTTTTATTAAAATACCCACAACAATATTAAAAACAAATTCTATTTTATTGTTACTACTTAATTGTTTATATAGGAACTATATATAAAAATGGATGGTGACTCAAATATGTAGGATTTTCCATTTTGTAGACATTTTATGGTTTTAACAGCTGCAAATTATTAGTGTACGTATTAGTATAGGGTGGTCAGTTTAGAGTAAAAAGGAAGGCTACATTAGGATTTTGATTTGTTTTATTTTTAATTAGGAATATAAGATTTGGGTCTTTACAATGTGCTAGGCACTGTGCTAAGCCCTTTACATGTGTTTTCTTCATTGAATCCTCACAGCAGTTCTGGAAGAGGTACTGCTGTTATCCCCAGTCTACACTAAGCTGAAGTGCTGTGCCCAGATTCTGTCAGCGGTTTAAGTGGCAGTGCTGTGATTTAAAGCCAGGAAGCCTGATTCCAGATTCTGAGCTCTTAGTTGCTATGTAGTTCACTGTCTCACCAGCCAGGCCAGTAGAGCCCCATTACACAAGAGTGGGAGAAAAGAGAGAAATGGAGAATATAGGCATCTCTCAGGGCACAGTTTAGAAATTCTAGATTTTTAAATTTTTCTTTTTTGCTATAAAGTTTAACATATTTTAAGAATATATATATTTGATTATCTCTTTCAAACACTGAAAGTTGTATTTCATTGTAATTTTAAAGCTACTTTACAAAATGTAGTATAGCTTATAATAAATGTTATCTGCTAATATAGTAAAAAAATTACAAAATTTAAAATAAGACAGAACTTGTAAAATTACTATAATGTTATAATTTCTAATATTATGTTACCAACCTTTTTAAAAGGCTAGAAGGCAAGATAGATTTAGAGGGGCTATGATATCTACCTATCTATAATATTACCTAAATCATTCAAATAAATATTTTTATGTATTTTATTTTATAGGGATTACACCATCCAATGTAAGGATAATTGGTCAACGTATGAGCTATGGGTTTGGATGTGGTGATTTTGAAGATGATAGGTCACAGGACGTTTCACCTAGTGTTCTAAAAATACAAAATAAGGAACACCCAAGACATTCTAAGCATACAAAAGGTTAGTAAATTTCATGACAAATTAATTTTTAAGATTGAATGTCTCTAAATCAGAATCCTCCCTGAGCATGCCAATAAAGAAAAATTAACTGAGATTTCTCGGTTTTGAGATTTTTCTTCTTACCCTGCTGATATGTTGTTGCTTAAATAATTTTGCCAAGTAAGAGAACACACAGGTTCCTGTATTGGTGTATGGGCTTGCCTGAGGGGCCAGTTCAGGGAATTGACTGCCCAAGAGGTTAAAACCAGGGAATCCCTACTGACCTCTACCCCTGCAGGATACACACACGCGCACACATACATTTTTCACGAGACCTTTTACCACTACAATGGGGTGGAGAAATCATGTGAGTAAGTGACTGCCAGATGCCTAATTAGATTGTGACCATGGAGTAAATCTGTGGAAACAAGAATATAATTTCCCTGTAGTAGAACCTAGGAAGGCTTCTTTGTTTTATTACTAACCATCGTGAACAATTTACATCTCTTTTTTTTTTTTTTTTTAACTTAGTAGTAAATTGCACCTCTGTGACTGCTCTGTCCATTTTTCAGAGATCCTATTACAGCTACGTTTTTAAAAGTGTCCCTTAGGGTAAAGAGGAAGTGATTTTGAAGGGTATAAATACTTAAATGGAGTAATTAGAAGTCACCTGTTTTGAAGCATTGTAATCTACCAGTAAGTGTAAGGAGCTGTCATTTTTTTGTGTGTAGCAACTTTGGTTGTAACAGGGTCAACTTGTGTTATTTCTGATCATCTTAAGTCATATATGTGCGGGCAATCAGACATTTTAGGACATGTATAATTTTTTGTGGAAATAACTCAAATTGAGTAAGAGGGAACTTAGATTAGAAACTTTTTCTTTTTTTTCCTGAATTTCTTAAAATTTAATCCATGATGTAATTCAGTATCTGTTCCTTGTGGAAGAGATCAGTTGTCCATTGCTTTTACAAAAGAGAATCACAGAGTTTTTTCATATTTACTTCCATATTTTATTTCTCATGTAAAGAAAATCAAATACAAAAATATTTTTCTTCCTAAAAGTAATTCATACCCTAACATACAATGTTTTAATTTTCTTTTTTTTTAATTGTTTGGAAATAATTGCTGAATATGTTCATTCCCTCCTAGTGGCATCGTTTTTTGGACAGCAGAACTGTAAAAATATTTATATCTTTTGATCAGCAGTTAATTCTACTCCCGAAAGTTACTTCACACTCCCACTTCCAGCTCTAAACCAAACACCCACTAGATCTGTCTGGTCAACAAGAACAGACATGTTCAAACCAAACTTACCTTCCTTTCCAGATCTGCTCTTCTTCCTTTGTCATCCATTTTTATTAGTAGTGTTACCATTTTCCCCGCTGTCCAGACTTCAAACTTTAGAGTCACCTTTGTCTACTTCTCCTTACCCTCTAAGTTCAGGCAGGGACCTGTTCTACCAATTCTGCTCAGTTTAATTTGGACCTTCATTACCTCTCCCCTGGGTAATTACAGTAACCTTCTGATAAGACATCTCGACTCTTATTTTCATCCCTTTTTAATTCAGGCTGCTGCATAAACTTCCAGAACTATCTTTCTAAAGTATAGTCATCATCTCTAACATACTCAAAACCTTGTTTCCCACAAAATAAATTTCCTACTCTGTAGCGTAATTTTTAAGACCCTTAATAATCTTGCCTCAGCTTAACTTTCTTGCATTACCTCTCACTGTGCCTCTTTTCATGCCCTAGGCTCTGGCATTCTTTTTTGTGTGTGTGAGGAAGATCAGCCCTGAGCTAACATCCATGCCAATCCTCCTCTTTTTGCTGAGGAAGACTGGCCCTGGGCTAACATCTGTGTCCATCTTCCTCCACTTTATATGGGACTCCACCACAGCATCGCCTGACAAGCGGTGCATCAGTGCGCACCCGGGATCCAAACCCGGGCTGCCAGCAGCGGAGCACGTACACTTAACCGCTACGCCACAGGGCCGGCCCCTCTAGCATTCTTAATACTAGAAGTTTTCTTAGTTTGCATGTACAGTCTGCCTAGATGCCCTTTCCCAGTGTGGATGTGTCCAGATCGTGTCTGCTTTTTGAATACTGGCTTAAAAGCCATTTCTGTAGGAAGCTTTCCCCACTTTCCTGGTCTGGAGTAGTATAAGTTACTTAAAAGTGAAGATACTGTTGTCTGTATATCCCTATTATGCTTTGTAGTAATGATGTTCAGTGCCATCCAAAACTAATAGTGTAGACTTGGGCACAGTCACTCAAACAACTGCATCTCCAAATAATCAGGTTAAAGAAAATATTGAGTGCAACATTGAAGGGAATAGAAAGACTTTCAAAAGAAATATTGACAGTGAGTGATATATGTAAGTGGATTCGTTTTGCAAGAAACCTTAGACTTTTTTAGGATTAGCTCTCAGAACCACCTCTTCTTCCCGTTCCTCTCCTCTGCTGCTCGCTCCTTTGAACCTGCCTGTTTTCTAGCATAATAACCTAGAGCCCCAATTAATGACGTAAGAAAATGATTAGTGATGGGTGTTTGGGTGGTAGCAGTCTAGATTCCATGGGTTAATATTTCTTCTTTCTGTATTTGAATGAATTTGACAGAATAACAAAAAGGTATTATGTAAGGATAGTTTATATGTGAAGAATCTTTTAAGCATATTTTTCTTTTTTGTGTGTGTGAGGAAGATCAGCCCTGAGCTAACATCCATGCCAATCCTCCTCTTTTTTTTCTGAGGAAGACCAGCCTTGAGCCAACATCCACCGCCAATCCTCCTCCTCCCCTTCCCTTTTTCTCCCCAAAGCCCCAGTAGGCAGCTGTATGCTATAGCTGCACATCCCTCTTAGTTGCTGTATGTGGGACGCCGCCCCAGGATGGCCGGACAAGCGGTGCGTCGGTGCGCTCCCGGGATCCGAACCCAGGCCGCCAGCAGCGGAGCTCACGCACCCAACTGCCAAGCCACGGGGCCGGCCCCAAAGCATATTTTTCTTTACATTTTAGAATTGAGACTTAATGAGTGATATTTTTTTCAATATTTCTTTGTTTAGAAGAAAATACAGTGTAAAAAGTAAAAGGAGCATTAAAAGTGATTAGTTATGTCAGTGTCTCTGATAAATGAAGCTAAACTACTTAAAGATAACACGTCCTTTATATATTTCCTCATGAGACTTGTCTAATTATTCAATCATCTCTTGACAGTTTATTTGTAGATTTTGTCTTTGTGGACTATTATTGAGCAAATTGTTCCATTTACTGAGATTTGCTTCCTTTTATCACTGAACAACTTTTGGGGGCTGTGTGATGTTTCTGGAGTTGACCCTAAATTAATTGTATTTTGCTTTTCATTTTTTCTGCCTTATAACATTCATCTAACGTATATTTACTGAACACCCACTATGTGCCAAGCACTGTACTCACAGGCTCTGGAAAAGAATGACAATCAAAACTGGACATATGGGGCCAGCCTGGTGACGTAGCGGTTAAGTTCACGCGCTCCGCTTCAGCGGCCCACGGCCCGGGGTTCGAAGGTTCGGATCCTGGCGCAGACCTACACACCGCTTACCAAGCCATGCTGTGGCGGCGTCCCATATAAAGTAGAGGAAGATGGGCACGGATGTTAGCCCAGGGCCAGTCTTCCTCAGCAAAAAGAGGAGGATTGACAACAGATGTTAGCTCAGGGCTGATCTTCCTCCAAAAAATAAATAAATAATTAAAATTGAAAAATAAATAAATAAATAAAGGGCCGGCCCAGTAGCGCAGAGGTTAAGTGCACGTGATCTGCCTTGGCAGCCCAGGGTTCACAGGTTCAGATCCCAGGCACAGACCGACGCACTGTTTGTCAAGCCATGCTGTGATGGCATCCCATATAAAGTAGAGGAAGGTGGTCACGGATGTTAGCCCAGGGCCAAAAAGAGGAGGATTGGCAACGGCTGTTAGCTCAGGGCTAATCTTCTTCACAAAAAAAAATTAAAATAAATTAAAAAATTAAAAAAATAAAAATAAAAAAAACAAAAACTGGACATAGGTCCTAGCCCCATAGAGCTTACAATCTAATGAGAGAGAGAATAATTAGATAACTAATATTAAACTGAGGTGAAAGTTAGCCTGGAGAGGCACAGATTGCTGTGAGAGGTCATTGGTCTGTGTTCAGGGGTTAGGGGCTTTCCTTCGCTGTCACCCTCCTTTATCCTGCTGTGATTACTTTCTTGTATATCCCTCCCACTCATAGCCCTGGCGTGAGGGAAGGAAGGTTTCTTTTCTGTTTAGTGCCTAGTCTATACTAGGTATTCTAATTATAAATATGTATTGAATTGATGAACATATGTGAATAAATAAAATGTAAATTCTTTGTATGAAATAAATTTTTAGTTTTAAAAGACTGTTATAATATCCTAAAATACTGTATAATATGTATTTTTTTATTGATGTCATAGTAGTTTATAACATTGTGAGATTCCAGTTGTACATTATTGTCAGTCACCATATAAATGCGCCCGTTCACCCCTTGTGCCCACCGCTGCAACTCCCTTCCCCCTGGTAACCACGGAACTGTTCTCTCTGTCCATGTGTTAGTTCATCTTCTACATATGAGAGAGGTCATACAGTGTTTGTCTTTCTCTGTCTGGCTTATTTCACTTAACATAATACCCTCCAGGTCCATCCATGTTGTTGCAAATGGGACAATTTTGTCTTTTTTTATGGCTGAATAGTATATAATGCATATTTTTAAGTGTCAGTTTTTTTTGTTGCTTTAGGATTTACAGGGTCATCATCAGATTTACAACAAATTTCCAATTTTGACTTCACATCCACAAATACCTTATCAGAAGATTCAGTAGTCATTGTTGGAAAAGGTATTTCAAAGTTATTTAGCTTTTTAATTGTATGTATTCTTCACACGTAAGCAAAGCATATCAATAAAGAATAGAGTGTGTTTCAGGTATTGGATAGAACTTTCTTTTTATTTATTTATTTATTTTTTTGGTGAAGAAGAGTAGCCCTGAGCTAATATCCAGTGCCAATCCTCCTCTTTTTGCTGAGGAAGACTGGTCCGCAGCTAGCATCCATGCCCATCTTCCTCTACTTTATATGGGATGCCGCCACAGCATGGCTTGACAAGTGGTGCGTCGGTGTGAGCCCGGATCTGAACCTGCAAACCCTGGGCGGCCGAAGCAGAGCGCACTTAACCGCTACGCCTAGAACTTTCTTTTTAAATAATTATTAAATTGAAAGAATTAGAAGTAAATGCTTAACTTCACATTTCTATCCTGTAATGAAACTGCAGTAAATTTATGTCAGTAATTTTCAGAAGTATATATTATGTGACAGCTGCAGTTTAGGTACTTCTGAGACACTTTTGGTTGCTAAGAGAGTTTTACCATCATTTAAATTCAAATGGTAGTCATTATTTATCAGCTTAGTAATCAATGTAATTTTATTATCTCCTGTACAAAGTCTAGACAAATCAGAATTAACATCTGTTATGTATTTTAGAAGGGTTAGGGGACCTTTGAACAACATGTTTGCAAGTATCTTTTGGAATTAGATTGGGTTTTTTTCCAGCTTTATTGAGATATAATTGATAAATAAAATTGTAAGATATTTAAGGTGTGAACAACAGTGGGATTTGGTATCCATGTACATTGTGAAAAGATTCCCCCTATGAAGTTAGTTAACACATCCTAACTAGTTTCTTTTTTAATTGAAAAACTAGAATGTGTTGATAGATATTGAAGGTGTACATCTTATTTTTGGTAAATAGAATGAAATGCTTGGAAAGCTTTCCTAACTTCTTTGCTTGATAGAGTCTCATTAAGTTAAAGCCCTCCTCAGGTTGGCTCCAACCTACTCTTGCACACTTAGTTTCTGTTTTTCCTCTATTTGCTTGTGCCCAAGAGAACTAATTTATTCACTCCACCTGCATGCTTTTTATTTGTTCAGCTCTGCGTATAAGCATCCCCATCTCAGGATGTCCTCCCCTCCTTCCTCGCTTGTCTATCCAAATCCTTTGTGTCTTCTAATCCCAGCTCAAATCCTTGCTCCTTGAAACTATCTTAAATACCCACCTCACACCAACCTTTCCTTTGTGTGAACTTAGCACTTAACGATACGCACTTGTCATTTGATATGATCATGAAATGTCTTGTGATACCTCTTATATTATCGTACTGTTAGGGTTTTTATATTTTATGATTATATAACATGTTTTTCTTATTTACTATATTATTTACTTCTTGAAGGCAAGAGCCTTGTCTTAAACTTTGTTATCTGGAGCGACATCACATGAATACTTAATGACAATTTGATGGTTGGTTGATTTCAGGTGTATTTGCAAGTCCAAATTCAGCACCAGCAACCTGCAGCCAATCAGTGATATCCTCAGTGGAAAATGGGGATACATTTTCAATTAAACAAAGTATTGAACCACCATCAGGGATTTATGGAAGAGCGGTCCAGCAAAGTGTTCCATCGTATGTTGATGTTGAGAATGAAAAAGATGTAAGGTTATTTGCTAATTATTAGGATAAATTTAAGCCTATGATACATCATTTTGTGTATATCAGATTTGAGGTGGTGAAAGTGTTTTGATTAAAATTTTTGAAATTTTAGTGTAATTGAAATTTCTGATCCTTAATCATTTAAATAGTAGGTTATTCTTCTTTCCCACCGTATATGTTCTCATTCTGGTGTAAAGTATATAGTGTACTTTATACTATAGATGTACTTTGTGTATATATATATATGTGTGTGTACACATATATTCAACACTTTCCTAGGGTACATTCAAGGAGTAACAGATTAGTATCCTCAGGCACAAATTTAGTGGATGTTAGCACTATGTAATTCTATTCAATTTTGGAATTCCTGAGATGAGGACTAAGAAATGTATAGTTTATTTTGTATATAGAAATTTAATGTCTCTATAGAGTTGTCTGAGATGAAGATAGTTATTTTAAATGTCAAACTCCCTGAATACTTTCAGATATTTCAACTTTTTCATGCAGATTAAAGTTTCTATTTCAAAATCTACTTATGACAAGATGAGACAAAAGAGAAAAGAGGAAAAAGAACTTTTTGATATTAAAGATTGTGAAAAGAAGGAACAGAATTCCTGGGAACAAATGAAACATACAGGAACTGAGAAGATGACATCTGAAAGTAAGTGGAATTTAACTTTTGGTGTATTTTTTTAACGAGTAATATTCTAAAGCTAGTGTACTGTGGTTTAGCTTGGGTGATATATGGCTAATAATGGAATATGTGGAACTATAACACTGAAATTTTCAAGACCCAGTAGCTTCTAACTATAATAAATATTAATACTTTCTTATAAAAAGGAAGTTGACTATTTTTCTCCCTTCTAGACTTAAATATTTTTGGAGATGAGGTGGGAATATCAAAAAGTGAGAATTCCCCTTTGGAAAACATTGCCTTTAGCCCTCAATTGTAAAGAAGGGCCAGTTTAAAAAGGTCACCATCTTGAGTATTTTCAGAGTCAGGTAAATCGCTTGTTTAGATATAAAGAGTAATGCTGCAAATGCTTGTTAAGCTGGAGAGACCACATGTGGTTCAGTGCATTGGTGATAGAGCACTAAACTAGTAGGAGTCAGTAGACAGACCTGGCTTCTTAAGTATCAGTTCTGCCTTTCAATTAGATTTGTGACCTGGAAACTGCCCCTATAAATATCTAAATTATCCCAAAGATCTGGATTATCTCAAAGATCTCTTTCATGCTCCTGCAAATATTTCCGTTTCACTGAGGAACAGTATCCCATTTTATGCTAAGGTGACTGAGGTGGTGAAGTTGGTTTACATTAGAGCATAGTAAAAAAAAAATCATTGAGTTTATCATTTATTCAGCATACCAGTGAGTACTTACTAAGTTCTATACCTGGCCAAAAGTAGCTTTATGTTTCCTGTGCTGTTTTAAAAAATATTGAGGGGCCGCCCGGTGGCACAGTGGTTAAGTGCGTGCGCTCCACTGCAGCAACCTGGGGTTCGCAGGTTTGGATCCCGGGCGCGCACTGATGCACCGCTTGTTAAGCCATGCTGTGGCGGTGTCCCATACAAAGTAGAGGAAGATGGGCACGGATGTTAGCCCAGGGCCAGTCTTCCTCAAGAAAAAAGGGGAGGATTGGCATCAGATGTTAGCTCAGGGCTAGTGCTCCTCACAAATAAATAAATAAATAAATAAATAAATAAATAAAAAATATTGAATAGGTCAGAGGTATGGCAGCAACTAGGAAAAATCAGAAGTTGAAATGAAACATTGCATGAACCGGGCCGGCCCCCGTGGCTTAGCAGTTAAGTGCGCGTGCTCCAATGCTGGCGGCCCGGATTCGGATCCCAGGTGCGCACCGATGCACTGCTTCTCCGGCCTTGCTGACGCCGCATCCCACATGCAGCAACTAGAAGAATGTGCAACTATGACATACAACTATCTACTGGGGCTTTGGGGGAAAAAAATAAATAAATAAAATTATAAAAAGAAAAATTGCATGAACTATAATAAACATTAAAGATTATTGCTTATTATTTTTGTTTATTATTAATTGTTACTAAGGAATAAACTATTAACTATAATAAACATTCTTAAATTCATGTTAGGTCTGAAGTCTAGGTATCAACAAAAAAACCAAGAAGTATAGAAAAAATAAATATATAAATGTGATCTTGGATAACATACTTAACCTCTCTCGAAGATAAATATAGAAGAGATTTGAAATAGATAAATGCCTGAGGTTCTTCTAGCTTGTATTTCTTTTATAATGCAAGAAGTATAGAAAACTTTTTAAAATTCTCTATTCTCAAGACGAATAATTGTTGAGAGTATGACGGATGAGAGATATTAGCCTGTAAAATTACTGCTTAAACGTGGCCTTAAGAAGCAGTTAAATTTAGGCGTTTGTGAAGTTTAAGCCTATTTGTTAGCATTCTCAAATAATTTCACTATATTAATGTCATAAAATCTAGGGGGAGAAAAATCCACAAAACTTCTTACCTAAGCCAATATGAATACTGGATGCTTCTGTTAACAGGGGAACTAGAAGTACAGATAGTAGCAAATAGTACAAATAGTAATAAATCATAAATTCTTAGGTATTCATTCTTGCTAGAGACATCAACTAACTTCGTAATTTTCACCTATAACATAGGCTTTATAGATTTTGTTTCTAAGTGTAAGGACAGTGCTTCCTTGAAGTCACCCTTGTATTATTTGAAGAGAAGATAAATACAAAAAGTGAGAGTAAGCTTTTAGAAACTATTTTAGCAATTTGACATTGCCATGACACTTTTTTTTTTTTTAATAATTTTATTTATTTTTTTCCCCCAAAGCCCCAGTATATAGTTGTATGTCATAGCTGCACATCCTTCTAGTTGCTGTATGTGGGACGCGGCCTCAGCATGGGTGGAGAAGCGGTGCATCGGTGCGCGCCCGGGATCCAAACCCGGGTCGCCAGCAGCGGAGCGCACGCACTTAACCGCTAAGCCACGGGGCCAGCCCTGCCATGACACTTTAATTGTATTTTATAAAAGTATCAGTCTACAAGAGAGTTGAATTAAAAAAAAAAAAAAAAAAGCTTTGAGCAGCACTGCTTTATTTTTTTTATTTTTATTTTTTTTATTTATTTTTCCCCCAAAGCCCCAGTAGATAGTT